AGCCAAGTGGCCTATCGGGCTGAAGCTTATCCTGGTTTCTGCAGCATGAACCGACTAGGGCTATCTCTACCCCCCCTGGATGCGATGCTAGTCCTTTGCAGGGTTACCCCCCAGCATTAAATTTGCCTGTAACCATTTATATACACTTGGCTGGAGAGAGACACTGTGAGAGTCAAGTGCCTTGCCCAAGAACACAACAAAATGTCCTCCATCAGGGCTCAAACCTGGACTGCTTGATCCAGAAATGAGCACACTAACCATGAGGCCACCATGCCTCCCACACTTGGGAGTAGAAAAGTAAAGTAAATAGTGAAGTACAAACCAGGAACTTGACACTAGTTTCCCACCATGCCTGTTCATCTGCAATCTTATTTCTTATGTAAGTGTCCCTGGCCATGTTAGCCAAAGCTGATAAACCAGACGACACCAGAGACCAGTTATCTGTAGGTTCGTGAGATGTTTTTTGGTTGCCTTCGCATAACTTTAACTGTACATGAAAGGACAATGAAAGAACAATGACAGTGTCAATGAGCGTAATCATGAAGACAGGGAGGGAGGAAGAGAAGCTGAAGGACACAATGGACAATAGATGTATGGACAAAGGACGAGAAGGAGCAGAGATGAACCTTTACAGATAAAAGGGTGCAAGGAGAAAGGAAGATCAAGAAAATAAGAGAAAGAAGGGTATCCACTTTACCACAAATTTCTGTGAGATGCCCAGAAAGTCCTTGTCAACCAGATCTCTAATTTTTTCACAGAATCTAAGAAAGAGAATTAGAGAGAAGAGAGAATTAGTTCTAAAATAATTTACCGTCCTTTGGTTTATGATTGTTTAACATGTACTTTTCCAGTTTGTTTTTACTGACTTGTAAATTCATTCTGATCAGATTATAAATTTAAGTTCAAAGTTCAGAATGAAAAAAGTTATACTCTTAACAATACCTTGTAAGGCTGGGAAATAACATGTTACAAGTAACTTGCCTCTAGACATAGCTTTACCAGAGCATATAACACATTTGACAGCTTTCATACCCTTGTTCCAAGGCTAAGTTATTAATTGTGGACATTGCCACAACAGCTGTATTGTTTCCCCTTTGTACAAGTGAAAATAAGGCTTCTGTTACCCTGAAAAAATAAAACATACATTCCTTAATCTCAACTCATTGATATCCACCCTTTAATGACTTTTTGTTTATCCTCACAGTCTGCAAGGTTTCATTTCATTTTCTTCTTGTCCACTCTGTTCTTATCATTAGTTTAAACCCTATTCAGTCTTCTAGTTGACAATATTCTTTCATTACTCCCATCTGCTTGTTTCCTAATCTTACCATTTGATATGTTTATATGTAGTAAGACCAAGTCTTCCCTTTTCAGTTTGTGACAGTTGATGGAGGAAGGACGTAGCAGCAGTTCTAATGACAGGAGAAGTTGGGTCTCTTAAGAGAAGATTGAATGATGGGGAATGATCCTTTCTGAGAAACTCTTCCACATTGTGATCTGGAAGAAAAATATCTTGCCTGTCACAAACTAATCAACAGAAAACAAACAAATTCAAAAAGCAGAGAGAATACATGTCTTGATTGATTTAGTAACTGACTGACTAACCAACTAACTGATTAACCAACTGACTGACTAACTGACTGACTGACTGACTGACTCACTGACTCACTGACTCACTGACTGATTGACTGAGCGACTGACCAACTGACCAACTGACTGACCGACTATCTCACTGACTCACTGACTCACTGACGGATGGACAGACAGAGAGACGAAAGGATGGATGGACGGACAGACAGATGGATGTACTGACTGAATGATTGAATGACTGATGGACTGACTGAGCTTTTCTTTAACCACCAGGCATATACATTTCTTCTTTAACTACATGTACTTACTGTCACATACATAGATACAAACACTGGACCTTTATAGATTGTTCACTTCCGTTGCGTTACAACCATCGTTGATTTAGTTTATGTTTGATTTATGTTTCTTGGCTGGCTGCTCTAGGTGTTTCGTCATTACATAGATACCATATTTCTGAGCACGTTTCAGTCGATTGGGAGTCACATGTTCCAGGAGTCGTTCATAGTTTAACTCAGAGTATTTGGAGCTATTTTCTTTGGAGTTTCTCACGCACAGTGTTAGAGATCAGATGCAAGTCATTTTATATTTCCCCTTCTTATGGTTTTACTCATTTCCATTTAGCTTGTTGTCCTGTGTGCCTCTTGTTACTCAACAATCGTCTATTGATTTCTAGTCTTTACAGTAAGTGGTGCACAAGCAGCCCAGCCAGATCTTAAATGAATCTTACAAATTGTGGGCTGTTGTGCCTAAGTTTATTTAAACTGGCAAACTCCGATGTACTGCACCTCGCATCCGCCATGTATGTTGGGATCGCAACACTTACTATGGCCTTAAAGATTACTGGGCATTATTGCCTACATGTGCCTCAAGTATTGAAATCATACTGACCTGTAGAGCTGGATAATTGAGGACATAAGAAAATTAATGCATTGAGTTAATTCTTACCATTGTCAGTGCAGGCTTCCATCAAAATCCTTAAAATTTCACACATAAAATCAATATCCTCTAACATTGTACACACATCTGCTCCTTCCCAATATCTACAAAGGGAAACAAAAATGCTCACATCTGTAAAGGCAGCCAAACAACATATCAGTCTTACACACACCCACTCTTACAGTCCACAAAATATATTAACACAAAAGTGCTACCTGATACATATTTTTCGCTTAAATTTATAAAAGATAGACAACTCGCTCAAATGGACACTGCATGCAGTGATCCAACACCTGCATGTTTATAAACAGAATTTAACTTCAACTTCATTTTACTTACTTTTTAAATGTTTTATTGTAATCTATGATTTGAAAGCCTCCATAACATCTAAATAATGTTTTATTAGCATCTGCAATATAGGAAAGCAAGGATTGAATTAGCTAAAAGTACACGTAGGTAAAACTGTATGTCAAACCTATGCTATGTTGATTTCGAAAAAAGGTTCTAAAAAGATAAATATTTAAAGGATATAGGCAATTATAATAAACTTGAAAATTGATAGAAACAGAGTGAATCAGAATTCCTAAACTTCAAAACTGACTTACTGCTATCTAGAAGTGAAACTAGCTTCCTTGTTGATTCAATGTATTGTGACGTAGCAAGACTGCCTTTGTGTAGTCTGTTAATAGATTCTTTTATTAATTCTCCACTTCCTTCTCCAGCGAGGGTGGCAGCCTGTGATGAGTTAAATGGTCAGGAATGGTTATTCCATTCACACACATGATGTTACATGTACTAACAGTAATGTTAACATCTTGAAACATTGAAAAAAAAAAACATTTTTTAACCCTACTGTAGGTCAACACACATAAAAAAGGAATGCTTGTCTTGAAGCAAGCAGCACCCAAGTTAGGGTTGTTGTGTGGTTTTTTTGGGGGGGTGTTACTATGATTTAGAGGAGAGGGAAATCAGATGTCAGCCTGTAAAAGTACCCGGGGGGGGGGGNTGATCCGGAGATGAGCACACTAAACAAGAGGCCACTGCACCTCACATGCCTCTCACTATGTTCAAGGTCTCTACTGTAAGATACAGACCAAGCTTTCTTGTGTCTTGCTTTTTTGTTTCGTTTGTTTGTCTATTTGTTTCAAAAAGGAAAGCCAATCTTAATGTTGGACTAAGTTGACAGGTGAGAAAAAATTAAGAAGAAGAAAGAAATTAAACTAATTGAAACTGCTCAGTCACACTATATATTCTTGCCAGTCAAAAGTGTATTCATCTGATAATTTAATATTTTTATTGCCACACAAATCTGACCTCTTTTTCATCCTGAAGCCTCCGTTTTGCTGATTCTGCCTCTGATATATACACTAAAAAGAGCAGAAGTTGAAAATTATGTTAAACACAAATGGAGGAAAAATATGAATACTGACAGTAACATGTATTTAGTACTTCACTGACGATTATTATTAATTTAGCATAACATATATATGATGAACAACCTTTTAAAACCTTTTCTTGCTTTGGAGCAACTTCAATAGCATTCTTTAAAACTGATACAGCCTGCAAAAAAAATGCAGTGATGTCATACATGTCACATGTACATACAATTTTTATGATCATATCTAAAGTAGTCTTGTTAACAATCACAGTTTAAAGGTGTCTCCGTACTGAGAATACCCCCTAGCATGGGAGTGGTTCTCCATAATGCATTTCCTTTTTGGCATCATGAGAGTTACTGCTATAAATTCTGATATTAACTTACTAATCATATTTTTGTCTGTCTTAAGAGTGTGTTATGGGTGAAAGATAAAACTCTATTTTAATTCACAACAGGATGATGTTAAGTAAAATCTTACCTCATCAAACTTCCCTTGTGCTTGCAGAGCTCTGGCTTTGTGAACAAATGCTTTCACCCACTTTGGATCAATCTGACATTGACAAGATATTAAAATTATATTTACTGAAGTCAAAGTTGAAAATTCAATAGATTTTAAAAAGCATATCATCAAAATTAAAAGTAAATTACACGTACATTGTATCTCCACTAAATATCTCTCCTTTGAATAAAATATAATATCACCCCTTCCTCTTGAACTGAAAGAAGTCAAATTGATCCAAAAAGAATGTGTGGGTAAGAAAATATTGCATTTAAACCAAGTTTATTGTCACTTTGAATCAACCTACAATTGCCCAAATTATAGCTGCTTGTAATGTAAAATATTAACTTGCCTTCAAAGCTAGATTACAGTCATGGATAGCAGAATCAAAGTCATCAAGTTTGATGTAAGCCTAAGGTTAAGAATAAGCACAAAATTAAAACATCAGTCCTGTTATTATCTCCCACAAACACTTAAAGGTATAATAGCTAGTAAAGCTGCATAATAATCCAATGATCGACACTTCATGTGAACAAAAATATCTTCACTTCATCTGTAGAAATTGATATTTTCATTGGCAATTAATAAATTTTATTAAATTCTTTTTAGCTTCATCGTGTTATTTCAAATTATGCATTTGGGAAGTTTGGAAAGCACTCAAGAAGCTAAGAGTTGTTCTCCGCTGTGCTTGGAGCAACTCTTGATTGCACATTTTTGAGCTTTCAAACCTCCCTTTGTGCATTATAGCATGCTGAAGTGTGAATCAGTTGTTAATTGATTCTCATTTGTCTTGAAAACGTGTAGTTTTTTTTTTTTAATTGTGTTACTTTTAATTGCCAAATGCCTATCAAAGTAATTACTTACAACTAACAGTGGTTAAAGCTAAAAGTTTGCAGCTACATGTTAAGGTGTAAAGTAAATCCCTGTAGTCAGCTGAGTATTCACCTGAGCTCTGTTTGTGTAAAGCACAGGATTAGTACAAACTTTAGCAATTGCCATAGTGTAGTTGCTGATGGCTTCTGTAAAGTTACCATCCTTGAAAGCATCATTCCCTTTTCCTTTTAACTTCTCAGCTTCGGCTTCAGATCTCTTTTTTATCTTTGCCCTCTCTTTGGCATCTTCTTCAACTGCTTTCATGAACTTTTCTGTGAAAAAAATGGTCCATTAATTTCCAACTCTGCTTAAAAAAATATCCCTTTTCACACACTTAAGTCCTCTTTCCCTAAAAAAAACATCTGGGGTTCCCCTTACACATTCCATACTGATGACCTGTGTATAACATCCCTTGTTGGTTGCTGCTCACATTTGAATGAAGAATTTCTGTGTAAACGGTGGTTTTGACCTGTGCGGCTGTAATGAAAGCTTACATGTAGTGACAGCTAATTGAGCAGTAGATCAAAAGACAAGTGCCACTGTTTATAAAGTTACACCCATGGAGTGGTTTAAACTTTTGCATTGCATGTCTAGCAAATAGACAAGGGGTTTCATTAAGAGCTGGACACCAGGCCAATTGACTGTCCGTGAGGGTGATTTTGCCCACCCGGTTTGACCCTCTAGAGGGCAGTTTTTTTTATGACCAGCTTCAATTCAAAATGTTTTGCCTGCCTGTGAAAACCTGCTGAAAACATTAAGGAAACCCCTGGTCTAGCATTGAAATCTTACCAGCACAAACTTCTCCAGCATCCCTCTAACAATTCAAAAATAGAACACAAATTAACTCAACCTAGATATCTGACCAGCTGCTTATAATGTAGGATCTAACAAAAGAGATCTCTACTGTTAAAGGAATCCTGTGGTACTTTTCGCACTTTACACCTTTGAAGTGCAAATTTATATAATCTGTACTCCTACATGCATTGCTATATGGACCTGTTTACTAATGTCATGCTTTTCCAATTTTTTCATTCAAACAAAGATATAAATCAATCTGTTCAATTTATCATGCCAAATCGAGTATATAATATGTGAAGTTTCATTAGAATCTGTTGGAAATGCATAAAAATATGGGACCCCAAACTTGTCAATTTTTACAATGATATGTAAGCCTAGGGATAACGCTATCCCCTGATATTTACATGTACTGGGGTCACATATTTTTATGAGTTTGCAATGGATTCTTACAAAACTTTGTAGGTTTACCAAATTCAGCATGACAAATTGAACTATAGGGGTGTTTTTTGGTTTATTTGAAAAACAGGTAACATTTTGATATTGTGAAAGAAAAACATTTTGATGTTGTGTGACACCAATAAAAAGATCCAGTGTGCCGTTATCAAGTATCCTGTTAACTTGAGCGTGCTTCAGAAATGAAGTTACGCATTCATTTGCATCGATAACAGATTCATTTGCATCAATATTAGATACAAAAAATGTAGGTTGCTGCATGTAGTTAGTTTTTGATTGTATGGTAATCAATTGAGAACATCAAATAGGAATGGCCATCCGACCCTCATGTATCCTTTACTTGTGACTTTCAAGTTGATGTAGAAAACAACTACTGCAATGGCAAATACCAATAGAAAAAATTGAAGAAGCCTAAAACTTATTGCATGTTTCTATTACTGTTAAGGATAATAAGAAATAATACCATTTCACCAAGAGCAGTTGAAGGATCTAATGTCCTCCTTTCTCCTTCTTTGGAAATAACTGTTCTCTCAGATGTCATTTTTACTGGTCTGCATTCATCATCAGAATCATCATCATTTTCAGCTTTGTGTCTTTTCAAGAACTCATCTGCTGCAGAGAGTGCTTTGTTTTGTCTTTCAAGGTCACCACATGTTAAATCTTTCATAATAGAGTCTGTAAACAAATGAAAAAAGTTCCCAGATTTTTACTTGATAATTAATAATAATTATTAAAAGTATGCACACTACTAATAATTATTATTAGTAGTATGTCTACTTTTAGTTGCATAAAAACTGCTGGCTAAAAAGGTCCAAGTGATACTAAATGTTCTAGGCTAACAGGGTACACAAACATTTAACACAATCAATGGCAAACCCAAGTCAATCTACATGTGCATGTCTTTATCTGCTTTAATCATACTTTAAGAAAAGACTGTAGTTACAACTTGAAAAACTTTAACACAGCACTGAAGGTATTGGCTAATTCTAAGGCATTATTCTCCCGTAATGCCCACAGGCTGATTACGGGCCTACAAAACCAGAGTAAAAAGCCATATATTAAACAACTTATTAACCTCAAACATTTGGTCTTTACAGGAAATCTCAAACGTCAGCCTTACGGTACTGACCTCACCATACCTTGGTCAAATTATATGGCAAGGTCTCGGTTTGAACTCTTCCTGTAAAGACCTCACTCTTGGTTAATAAGTAGTTCGTATATGAAAAAAGGAAAACACCAAATTGTACAGAGGGTAATATTGAACCACAAAATCGACAATTTTGTTTACCCTTATGTCTTTACAGTGCTTCTAGGTATCCTCATAGTGCTTCTGGTAGAAGCCATTATATTGAAAGAAAAAAATACCATGCATAGCTTCTGGGAGGTAGTACTCTCGTTTGCCTTGAAGGGGAAACAGATGTACTACTGCTCCTCAGAAGAAACCCTGATCTGAAACCCAATAGGGTTTGCCCTCAGCTTAATCTTCACGTATCAATGTAACTAAGCTTTCATATCAAGATCCCCAAACTGTTCTTAAGAAAGGAAAGGCACATAGCTTTATTTTCTCGCAAGATAAGTAATTTAATATGGTTCAATCTGACCATTAAATAATCCGTGAGGACTGGACTTCAAGAAACAAAGCAAGCTGAAAGCTGCTGACATTGACTCAACTTTAAACTTCGGAGATTCGATACAAAGAGGAGTGATGATTGTCTAACGATTTGCGATTGCTGCAAAATGCAAATCAGACATGATCGAAAACGCTGCTTACCAATTTCATCGACTTTCCCGAGAAATTTCTGCAGCTCTTCTTCCTTTCCTGTTGTTTCCTCCATTTTGACGCTACAGACACGATCGACTGCTCATCGACTGGATTAAATCAGTCGTTGACAATTCGTGATCGTCGGAAGATCTTCGCAATCTGCTCGAGTATCCGAAGGTCGTTTATCACCCTTGTTTTGGTCTCGTTAGGATTTCCGTGCGCAGTGTTCGAAGAAAGTGGAGTACGTAGAGATGTTTATATTTGTTGGATAAGTTACTTTTATACTTGAAATCACCCATGACTGCTTCTGAAGAGGGAAAAGCTCGGAACGAAGGTTGCCCTTGATGCTTTTGGTGTTGCTAGCGCGAGAGAAACTACCCGACGGCACTTCTTCAGTGGTACATGCATGCACAATTTATTTCTAAAATGGCTATGAGCGCTCATCATTGTCTGGTTCCCTGTTTACAATCCCGTCAACTTGGGATTCTGTCTCCAAAGAATTTCTCTAGAGATACTACAGGTTCTAGCGGACTTGTGAAAAGACTGAAGCTTCACGACAAACTTGTCCACCACGATGGATGTGTGAACACACTACATTTTAACATGTCCGGAGACCTTTTAGCTTCGGGAAGTGACGACTTAGATATTGTAATATGGGACTGGGCGAAAGGCAAGAAGAAAGTAGCTTATGAGAGTGGACATTCAAGCAATGTCTTTCAGGTAAAAAGCTCATAAACAAACAGTGAAATGTGGAGAATATAGTCAGCTAAAATGACAAGTTTAATTTTCTTGTCTATTGCAAATAGAACCTCGTTTGTATCCAGAAAGATTTTTCGTTATAACACGGTTTTTCAATTATGAAGTCTGATGGTTTCTTTTTCGTCGTTTTACTTTTGGCAGGCTAAGTTCATGCCTTACACCGGTGATAGTACAATAGTAAGTTGTGCCAGAGACGGAAAGGTAAGCAAGAGAAAAGATTATTAAACACAGGACGTGTAAATTTGAGATTCAATTAACCCAGCTGATCTCGTCCCGGGAGAATCACTGTTTCGTTAAACTTTGTTTTATAAATCCTATTCAATCATTTGTTTGCTTTGTCTTGCTACTGGCATCTTTGGTTAACTGTACAAGCGTTGAATTAAACAAAAAACTCCGATATGGAAAGAGGAAGTTCAATGGTCCATTGTTTGCTATTGGTCTCTCGTATATTGATTCACATTAATAAATTATCGATTGCACAGAAGGTATCTGTTGGCATGATCTCTATGGTATGCATGATTTTTTATCTTCAAATATCTCAAATATTCTTAAGATGAGAATTAGAGTGAGGCATCAACGTGGAACCAAATGGTGCAAGAACTGTGTTGCTCCAAAACAAAATTGCAAAATCAGCATTGTATTATTTTCAAACAAACACAAGTGATTTTCATGTAAATAAGGATATCAGCCAGTGACAGTTGAGAGAATGCATCCCTACCTCACTTGTTGCAATTAAGGTGGCTGAACACAGTTTTTGATACCTNTTAATTAATATGTTAGATAATTTATTGATAATTCAAATTATCATTTATTGTTTCAGTTATATATTTAATATAATTTATTGCATGATTGATTCTGTTATTTTATTTTATGCTTGTTTTTGGAAATATTCTAGCTTTGTATTGAGCCAGGTTCACCTTGTGAGTTTCTTACATGTGGAGAGGATGGTGTTGTGTTCCATGCTGATCTCAGAGAGGACAAGGCACGCAAGTAAGACATTGATAAAACATAGTTAATTTATAGATTTTTAGTAATATTCGTCTTTAAAAGTATACAATTATTAAATTCTTCAGTCAAATGCAGTGCCAAGCTTCTTATGTTATGAAAGCCTCATGCTTTGGCTTCAGTAATTCACTGGTTGAAGTTAAAGCTTATATTGTTCTTGTTCCTGTTTCACTTTTGCCAGTCATAAACTATATGTTTAGTGCTGAAGGTGCTCCTGCTGTTTCATAATATCTGTTGAAAACACAAATTATGTATTTTTCCTTTTACTAGGCTATTTTGCTGTCGTGTTGAGGAGCACAGACGAGTTCCTTTGTACACAATTTTTATCAATCCTTTAAATATCTACGAATTTGCAGTTGGTGGAAGGGACCAGTTTGCTAGGTAAGACAGATAGTTTTCAGAAAATTATATAACACATGTATATACAACATACAAAGAAAGTGAACATTATCAACCAACCTTGTCTGCTGTCTCTGAATGTCATAAATATTATGCAATCAAGTAGTGATAATTAACCTTGCCTTGCTACTACAGTCCAACCCATCTAATACAGACACTGAAGGGACAGAGCGAAGTGTCTGTATTTGAGAGGTGCCCGTATTGGAGATTTCACTATGATGTCGTCACTTTTAAGTCTCCACAGTATTTTTGATTACACTGTTGTATTTGCATTTGTAAATGTAAGTTTTAAAAACTAATAATTTGACATGTTCTGGTAATGGTGTAGCAGAATGATAAAGTGTCTATGTTTGTGCAAGCGCCGACAGGAAATGGTACACACCGCAAATTATAGACACCTGGTCCACAGAGTATCCGTTAGAAAGAAGATAGATTTGTATGAATTTTCCTGCCTAGGGCCGAGATTTAGTGTCTCTTGTCCATTTTAGAGAGGGTCCATATTATTGAGAGTTTCTTTAGAGGAAATGTATGAGAATTTTGTTGGTACACAGGAAACTGTCTGTATTAGAGAGGTGTCCATATAGAGAGTTTCGACTGTACTAGCCTTGTCAAGTGATATTTCCTGAAATCTGGTATATTCTCCTGACAAAGTGCTTACTTTGTTATGATGTAAGATTGATATCTAAAATCTTCATTCAGAGTGCAGTCAAACCTCTATTATGTGGCAACCTATCAAGTGTCCAAACCATGTTAAGCGGCTAGTTATCATAAACCTCCTATTAACCAACCACCTCAATTAAGCAGCCGTGATCACCATGTGGTCATCTCTATGAGAAATTTCTCTATTGTCCTTACCTTTTTGAGCAACCAACCAAAAAATTTTTAATACACATAGTTTGGCTTTCTTTGGAAAAGGCAGTGAAAGGTAAAAGTCTGAAATAGAATTTGATGACTGATAAAAAAACATACAAACACACATTTTTTTACAATTGTCTTGACTTGATTCTATGTTCACACAGCAAGTAACCCAACCAAAAAATATTCAAAGTACACAGACCGCTATTAAGTGGCCACCTCCCATTTCCTCAAGGGTGGCTGCTTAATAGAGGTTTGACTGTACTGTGATCAAATCTTGCAAGTTGTTACTTGAATCCATGAACATTTTGTCACACTGAGTAACCTTACTTTGTTACTCAATATTAGTTTCTTTATGTTGTTGTTGTTTCATTCCATGCTTAGTGATATCTGTCAATTAAAACTTATAAATTTTGTATTAAATGACATTTTTTGTTTGCAGAATTTATGACAGAAGAAAGCTGCCAGAGGTAAAAAGAAATTCAATATTTTTTATAACACTAAACAGTGACTTTATTTAGTTTATTACCTTCTTTCTCAATGACAGAGCTCCAGTGGCCCAAAGGGCCACCAAGTGGAGCACCATAACATAGGAACAGAACCACATGCATGCATAGGTAGAAATAGAAAACCAGGCAACTCTTTTTTCATATTCAACATAGCTAGCAGCATGGATCACAGGTGCATGCACTCTAGGACAGAAACAACGAATGACAATGTCACACAACATGGGGGCCATACTCCAGCTTGTAGGTCAACCAAGTCATGCAGCCTTGGTTTACAGCATACATCTTTGATATTGGACATGCATGTTATGTTCAATTGACACCTGTCAAAACAAGTTGGCAGCTGTCCAGTATCATGTGACCATATTGTAGGGTCAGGTTTAGAGCTCATCGAGGTCACATGTTTTTTTGAAGTTGGCCGCTGGCTGACCAGGTACCGGTTTTCATTTGGATCGCAGGCTCAAGCCAGGTTAATTTATTGTACCTTATCATAGGAAATTAATGGTTCATGAAATTAACGCGAATTTTTGAAATTCACGTTAATTTAAGTCACATTAATTTATGTAAATGTTAATTTCTGTGCTGTTAATTAAGTTGCGCGTTAATTTCCGCGACATTAATTACCATTATTTTCCCCCAAATCTTTGACACACTCTAGACATTCTTGACACAGCCAAACAATAAATTTTATTTGTGTACTTTATATTTCACATCAATCTTTCACATTTAGTAAATTGTTTACTGTACTTCAACTGAATTTTGTATGTGTTCATTGTCAGCTGTAAAGTGTTAAAATAAATTGGTTCCTGTTCTCAACAAATTCTTTTTTTTTTGGTGTAGCAGAGGCATTAATTGACTTCAGTTTGAAATTTTGTCTCCTCTCTTGCGATAATTTCCTTTATTGGGAGGCAAATTTACCTTCAATTCGCGTTAGTTTAAGTCACGTTAATTTCAAATACGTTAATTGACATAAGCGTTAATTTCCTATAATAAGGTAATCAGGAGCTCTGCTTTTAGGCTTGGCTAAATCTATTATTAAATAAATGTTTGTTTTTAAACAGGATAGTAAGGCCAATGTTGAACCAGTCAAGTTATACTGTCCTCATCACCTGGTAAGGAAACTTAGAAAATTTAGAAGTAATGAATAGGATATTTATTTACTATTTTCTTGTATTGGCATTAAAACAACAGTGAGAAAAATCTTGGCTAAAAAAAAAATTTCATCCTAAATCACAAGGTGGTGTTTGTGTTAAATTGTTTCAGCGATTTGAAGCTGATAAGTCTTTGCCTGTTTTGAATGCTGGACATTTCGTTTCCGCTATTCAAATTTCCCTCCGTGTTTATGGGTGGGTCAGTTGGGTCAAGTGATATCAGCAGCATAGGGTACATTTACAAGCTGTTACGTCACCTATATTTGTAATTAACCAATTAGAAGCCACGTCTATTATTCTGATATCCTGCGATATCAAGTCACTGACCTGATATACAGCTGTAGCTTTGATATCGTGGTCACTTGGCTGATGTTAGGTAGGGTTAATACCTAATTGTACCTTTTTGGCATGCTCCTGCATCGTATCAGGCTCGTTTGATCTCGCCATGGATATTTTGGCTCGACTATGTCTGGGCAACATTACAAATCATGGCTGGACCAAACTCACCTGATATGCCACCAAGGCATACCAAAAAGATACAATTAGGTATAGGTATTCTTATACATAGACAAATATGCACCACAGACCATATATTATGTGCTTCTAACATCCATTCCTTCATTATTCATACAATTCATATTGAACTATTTAGGAGATCTGTATTCTACTATAGCATAAAACCTTGCAATGTCTCTGCATTTTTTGTAAATGTTTAATTGTTGGCAAAAAAAGACAAAGTAATGTATCTGCAAGCAAGTATATCCATGACTCAGGGAGATTTGCCATAAACCAGAACATGCAACACTGTTGACCAAGATCCAGGGCCTGGTATCTCTGAGTGGTATAAAGTGAGCACTGGTAACAGAAAAAAACTGGCAATGCTACCCAGATCATCATCTTTTCTGTGTTGCCATTTATCTTTCCAGCAAGATATTTATTGATAATTTCCTCTGCAGATGGGAAGTAATGATCTTCTTGCCAACATCACTTGCCTAGTTTACTCATATGATGGTACAGGTATGCTCGCCCTCTATTGCAAACATATTTTCTTTGGAATGTTTCTTCCAAAATTTGACACATAAGTTTATATTCATGGCAAATGATAAACAAGTGAATAACAAATAAACAAATGATTACATGTACCATTATGGTTTGCATAATTTTGCCTGCAAGGATAGAGAAAATATGTAAAATAAAGCTTGCAGTGTTTAGCTAATACCAGTGTGACGTTTAGTTTCTTAGTTTCAGATTGCTAATGAGTATTAAACAAAGGAAAACAAATCAAGCTGGTGTGAAGAATTTTGAATGAGCAAAAACAATATTAAACCTCACCAGACATATTATAGTATTATGAACAGGAATTGTAAGCATTTGCAATTGCTTTAGACACTTGATACCTTCAAATCCATAATGTTATTCACTAAATATTAATTTGCATTGTCACAGAGCTGCTTGTTAGCTACAATGATGAGAACATCTATCTGTTTGACTCTTACTCAAGGTATGTGATCACTTAGCAAACTTAGATAGACTATGAAGATTCTTTGAATATTTATGTAGCGAGTTTATTTATTGAGTTTTTGTTCTTGTTGTGATTTGAATAATGATCTTTAAGAAAAGAAATCTAAAGCTTGCAATTTGTTTATGCCCTTAGTTCTGAAGCAGAGTACATTAAAACCTACAAAGGCCACAGAAACAATGCCACAGGTATAAGATCAGTCTGTTAAACAAATTGACTTTGGCTGGAACATTAACCTTGTGTTATGGTAGAGATGTACATGTAAAAAATTGACCTGGTTTTTTTCTCTGTTTTCCTAGTCAAAGGTGTGAACTTTTATGGTCCACAAAGCGAGTTTGTGGTCAGTGGAAGTGATTGTGGACATGTGTTCTTGTGGGACAAACAAACTCAAGAGGTTGTACAGTTCCTTGAGGGGGATGAAACAGGCGTGGTAAGTGTTTAAACTTGCACATATGTGAGACACTGCTTTGGAAAATAGCCCAAATAAAAATGTGTGCTGATTGGTTTAAAATTGTGTTTCTATAACTCGATAGAAACCACAGAACTATCATGAGCTGTTGATGTAATGATGGCATGAGCAAAGAGAATGTACATTTCGATGATCAAAGTAAACAAGTTGTTTTCTTTTCTTCGTCACAGAATTTTCTGAAAGAAGTAGAAAACATGTTCTCTGTGTTTCTATTGAGTTATAGAAACACTCATTGAAGTTTGGGTGAACTCAAAAAAGCTGTGGAAACACTCGTATGTCAGCTCATGTTCCCACAGCATTTCTCATTCTCCCAAACTTCTACTCATTTTTCTATGACTCGCTAGAAACACCATTATATTTTTTTTCCTATTTCTTAAATATTGCCTTTGTATCAATGTCACTATTCCGTTATTCAAACTAAGAGTAGATGTAATGCAACCAGGTGAAAGGTAACACAACGAAATACGCAAACAACAATATGGCGTAATAGGGGGGGACGCAGCCCTGTGGCAGGTTTTACACGACTTCATGATAGGTGCACAAACTAAACACCTCACTTATTCCCCCACTAAGGTGGGAACAGAACAAGAGTATTGGCAGAGCCTTTCTTATCTCCCCAGCACAGCACAGGCTGGATCGGACAAGATAAAGGCTAGGGTACAAGATGGCAAGACACAAGCAATGCCAAAGCTTGGAGGAAGTCGCTACACAGACTTAACCGCCACAGATGCATGCACGGCATGCATCCCCCCAAAGCAAGGCTGAAACTAAAGAAAATTGCCTGATACGCTAGCCATTTTTGGAGCGGCAGAAAGTAACACTGATTCTGGAGTGCGTATATAAATCTGGTAACAATCGGACGACCAGCGACCTGACACCTTAATTAAGCAGTCTGGTAGGCACGCAGCTGCGGTCGCGGACGCCGCTCCTCTACGAAAGTTGTGACCCTTAAGGCTCTCTCGTGGGGGTCCCGCGCTTCTTGCAGAATCCTGAAGTTCGTGCGTGACAGAGGACCGGGTGAGGTAACGACGGANTTCATTCATGAATTGAGCATTCAATATTGTACTATTGTTTATCCTGCTGGATTGCGTGACAAACGTAAACAGCCTAACCCTCAAGGGGCGTCATGTTCCATTAACTGCGTTTTACCGACCGGTAAAAGTGGTAGTTATTGCACCTCTTTACTCACATCTCTTGTCCTTTTTAAGCTTCTGCCTTTTTGGTGAAAGTTATGCTTGAATCTGTTCAGTATTTGACATCCAGTAAATGATCTTGTCCCTTGTTGTCTCAGGTGAATTGTTTAGAACCACACCCCAATGCACCTATTCTGGCCACCAGTGGTCTTGATCATGACATTAAACTGTGGCTGCCAACAGGAGAGGAACCGACAGCCTTAGATGGACTAAAGAAAGTGAGTAGCTTCAGATCTGTAAAGAAGACCCCTATTTTCATTAAATGTTGAGTGTCATTCAGTTTCCACATGGATCTTTTTATTAATTTTAAGAGTTCTCAGCCAATCAAGTACTTAGATCTGATTGGCCAAAACTGTGGTTACGTGTCAGTAACAGGACATCCTATAACTAAAAATAGATTGTATACATATTTATTCAGGTATATTTGGGTAAACCTCCAAAAGATTAGGAGTCAAATATGAAAACACGAGCCTTGCATTGTTTAGTTCCAGAAAATATCCATACCTGCCATTGAGAAGGGATTTTTTCTGAGACCCTTTCCCCCACCCCTCTGGAAATTCCAATTTCTTCTATGGGGGGGGGACAGTATGGATATTTTCTGTAACTGCACATTGTGAATTTAGTTAAATGCAAAACAAATGCTTTTCATAGTTATCATTTGATAGCCATCTCCACTTGTTGATTGCAGATGCTAGTCATTTGCAGTCATATGACTGACTTATTCCTATTGTTTCAGGTGATTAAAGAGAATGACAAAGACCGGGAAGAAGACAGACTTCGTCCTCATGATCCGATCAGTGAGCATCTCTTGTGGCTCATGATGCATCACATCAGGAGAAGTCAGGTATTTCTCTACTTACAATTAAATGTTCTACTGATTTTGTTTTCATAGCAGGATCACACCTTAAATGCCTACCAAACATGCTCTGTTTAACTCTCCCCCCACCCCCAACTTTCAACTGATATTGCTCTACTTCTCATAATTATGCCCTCTTCTCTCTCTCTTAGAACTTCAAGGGGTTTTCAGTTGAGTACACGTCTAAAAGTAATTGGTTTTGCATTACTAGGCAACACAATTGGCTTAAAAAATTTACGCCACTTTTTCATCCAATCAGAAGTAAAAAATAAAAACCAATCGTGACTTGTTGGCACACGTTTCCTGCACTTCATATCAGCGACATGTAACTACGTTGAGTTTTGAATGGTTCACTGTATTGTTTGTGTCCTTTGTGATGGGCTGAATTGATTACTTTGGTTTTGGTTTTATGACACTCAATTGCAAGCCGCTCTAAGACACTGTTGAAGGAAAAGTTTATTGTACCCAGAGAATCATCGTTGGACTTGTTAGATTTGCTAATGGCAAAAGCTTCCTTAGCCCTGGTACACAAGACACCTCCTCTTAGGGATTTTCCTTTGGATTGTCGAGAGATCTTGCCCTCAGAGATTTCTCAGTGAGATTCCCTGCGGGAGAACCCATGAAGAGGTACTTTAAAACAACAATGAATTGACAATATTTCTTTGTTGACTTGTACTCTGTAGAATCGAAGTGACACCGGAGAGCAAGATAGTGACAGTGACGTTCTCAGTGACGATGATGATGATGATGAAGATGGTGAACTGGGAAACAGAGTTCAGTGTAGTCCATCATAAATAATTGACTCCTTTTGTATAGATACCCTGTAAAATATGAACTAGGCATACATAGCCATGTAAGTAAGACTGTACATGTAAACAGTTATTCAAATGTATTGGAAAGTTAAGTAGAACTGGATTTTGTCACATGCTCCATCTGATGTTATGTAACTGTTAAAATAGAGAACGTTTTGTGACACTTGACAAGACATTTTATGACAACTTAGAAGTTTCGTTATAGTTCAAAACTTAGTTTCACTTTTAGATGAACAATGCCAGCAATATACAGAGGGTTGTTGGGATTTCTGTGCAACTATTTATGCAAGTTGTTTGGGTTTTAGATCTCATGGTATTTGAAGTAAGCAATAAATCAGGGTAAGGTACTGAGGTTATTTTCCAACTGTTACAGAATTAGCTAAACCAGGTGCAAACTTTATGCAGCTACAGCTGGAATGGGCATGATTTACTTGTTTTCAGTCAAGGAACATGTGCTACTCTTTGCTATCCTCTATCCCAGGCTTTCTCAACAAGGGAAGCAAAGAAGAGAGAGCCTGGGATCGAGGTTGAGAACAGTGCCAGCACTCAAGTATTACAACAGCTGACAAGCCATGATCCAGCAATGAGTTCCTTAGCAACATCAAGATCAACCTGTATTTTTGGTCAGGTATGGATGTGTGACTGTTATACACACTTAACCCCCCCTGTCTTTGCCTGTCAGCAAGTTCTCTGGGGGGGGGGGGTAGAGTGAGTACCTTTCTGACGTATCAACAATGTCTTGTTTCTCCTTTACATCTTGGTTTTCAAAATCCTTCTCTGGAGTGTTGGTTTTGGTTTGATTAACAGCTATTTTTTGAGGGAAGTGAAAAACTAGTCCTCAATTAGACTGTGAATTGTGGTTTGGTGTAGTGATGCTAAACAGACTATTATGCTGTAGTGAATATTTCTATACAGCTTTATTTCACCACATTTGTATTCTCGGTAATAGACTGGGACTAGCTTGGAATGGAGGCTCATACAGGGGAACCCATTTGCATTTAAAAAGATTTTTCGCATTAGCCTCAGTTGCAAGCTAGTTCCAGTCCAATACCGAGAATACGATGAAACCAACGTGAAGAAACTTGGAACTTTGTATAGAATAACAGTTATCTCTATATTGTAGTGTACTTCAACATGCTGGTTAGTCTCAGAACAAAGAGATTATGAAAGAAACGTTGTAGAACAAATTATGTGCTAAGCACTGGAAAAAAAACTATGAAAAAATAAAAAACAGAAGTTAAAATTTACAACTTCGAAATATTTCTTGTAGCCAATGGCATTCCTGACACAAACTTGCGAGTCGCAGGCTTTCTTTCAGGCTGCATCTGCGTGTGATACAAACACTAACAGGCTACTGTTACAGAACATATTCCTCCCTTCCCTTATGTCCTTTATGAGAATTTGGAGTCACATCATTGCAACATCCCTGAGTCAAGTTCTTTGTTTTCATCAGCTGTCTCCCCGGTCAGTTGTGCCTCACTAAGTGCAGACAACCCAGGTTGACATTTCATGCTCCACATGAGGGGAATAACACGTATTTGTCAGGGTGTGTCCAGGAAATGGACCAAGTTGGCAGCTGATACCCTTGCCAGCCCCGGTGGTGACTCCAATATAAAAAGGATGGGGGTACTCGTCGTACCTTTTAGGGGTTAAAAAAGCGGTCTCGGTACCTGTTAGGGTATTTATCTTTCGCGGTACCTTTAGGGTATTGAGCCGAAAAAAATATGACAGGAGATATTTAACAACCAACTGATATATCGCTATGAAAGTGTCAGTTGATGCGTAGTTTTAGAGTTGGTACCTCTTTTAGGGGTGAAAAAAAAATTCAAGCCACTCCCAAAAAACAGGATCTTGGTACTTCTTAGAAGATCTTTTCAAAATTTTTGATGAGCGCCCCCGCCCTTTTAAATGGAAGTTCTCCCCGCTTTCCGTCAAGCCCTTATTTCTTTCAGTTTTGCGTAAACCAAAAGTCCGCTTACGTTTGAGTTTTTCCCCTCACGGCTGATAGTCATTATAATGCGGCGTACATGACGTATTTGGCTGTTGATTTCTCGCCGTTTTTCCTGGAGACGAGTTTGTGTAATATTGTCTTCCGGCAGCCATGTTGGCTTGTGTTCGCACGGATAGCTTTTGCCTTGTTATGCCTGCCTTGTTTGAGAGATCTCCGCTGTGATATCATCCATGGCTGCTTATATTGAGCGTGATGAACGTTGCCTTTTTATTGGAAACCTCGACTCTCGTGTAACAGAGGAAATACTCTGGGAACTGTTCTTGCAGGTACAGAAAGCTTGAGCTTGTGAAAGCTTTTAAACCATGTTTTAACTTTTAAAAATGCGTAGTGTAGCATGTAAATACATACAACAATTAAAATATATCCATAAAAGAGAAATCAAACACAAAAAAAGACCAACGACGTGTGGTATGGATCAAGTTTTATTACCTTTCCCAATAGTTTTCAACGTTCCACAATTGATTGATCGTTGATTAACTGACCCTTGTCAAGAGGTTATTTTGACAGTTGGGACGTGCTTTAGTGACTGTTGCCATTGTGAAGAGGTGATCTTTGCAGAGAGGTTAAAATAAGGGTGAATATATAAACCGTCCGCTGGGACAAAAAAAAAGTGGCCATTGTTAAGAGGTGGACATTGTGGAAAGGTCGCTGTTAGTGGAGGTTCTATTGTAATTTATTTAGTTATTTTCTGTTTTCTTAACCTTAGTCTGGTCCTCTTGAAGCTGTTCACATTCCGAAGGACAAAGAAACAGGCAGACAAAAAAGCTATGGTTTTATCCGTTTTTCGCATGAAGTCTCTGTACCTTATACCATTAGTCTAATGAATGGTATCACATTATATGGAAGAGCAATAACTGTCAAAAAATCTCAACAGACTACAAATTCTCCAGGAAATCAGAGTCCATCTAGCTTCCCCTCGCCACCTTTGTTTGTTAATCAGAATGGACAGCCAAGCCCTTTTCCAAGTCCACATCAATCAAATTATGGCTGTGGAATTTCCAACATTTCACCACTGCATAGGCCATTGTTTGATTATCATAGAGAACAATCAAGTCCATCAAATTACAGCCATGGAGTTTCCAATACTTCACTCCGGGGCCAGTTAGGATTTGAGTATCAGAATGGGCAGTCAAATCCAAACTCAAGTCGGCTGCCATTTCCTCCTGCAAGAAATGAAATTGACTATAACTCCCCAAGTAGTCATCATCCCTTTTCTCGGGATCAAAGGGATCAGATGTCACCATGGCAACAGAATAGAGGACGAGACTACCAAGGAAGACCCATACATCAATCAGGTCGTTCACTTAGTTCTAAATTTCTTCCAAGGGGCACAAGAGATTTCAGAACAGATTTTATCTAAATTATAATTTATACTATTTCAGTGTTTTGCTGTAAAAACACATTTTATTTTAGAAAACACCCAGTAAAAAACCATGCACTAAAAACCATACTTTGATAATCAGATAGAAACACAGAACTAGCTTAAGTTGTTGACACAATGAAAGGATGGGTAAAGAGAATGTACACTTTGGTAATCTAAATAAACAGTGATTTTTCTTGTAAAAGAAATGGAAAACATTTTCTCCATGTTTCTAATGACTTTTAGTATAAATCTACTAGTATTCTATCACAAATGACGTTCTCTAATTGGCACCGCTACTCACTATTCCGTTTTAGTATAAATCTACTAGCGTTCTATCATGAATGCCGTTCTCTGATTGGCCACGCTACTCACGTTCTATTCTGTGATAGATAGTGAGTAACATAGAAACATGCACTGGGGGCCGCTTCTTTGAATTTCTTCCAAGGGGCACAAGAGATTCTTTGTGTTTTCAAAGTGTCTGTGAAGAGGATTTAGATGAAAGTTTTGAACGATTAGTAGATTTACTCAATAAAAGTACCATTTTTTGTCACTGACTTGTATATTTTACTAGTAGATTTATACTAAAACAATTAGATTATTCGCTCTCGATTTCTATGCATGATAGTTGACTCACACTGCGCCCTCATCAACTGTCACATGATAGAAATCTCAAGCTCATTATCTAATTGTTTTGTAGGTAGTGAGTAGCGTAGCAGCATATGCTAGAGGCCGGTTCTTTGTTTTCAAAGTGTCTTTGAAGAGGGTTTAGATTAAATTTTTGAATGAATAGTAGACGTATACTAGAGCAATTAGATTATCCGTCCTTGATTTCTATGCATGATAGTTGACTCATGTTGCGCCCTCGTCAACTATCACGCAATAGTAATCTCAAGCTCATAATCTAATTGTTTTGTAGATAGCGAGTAGCGTAGCAGCATGCGCTAGAGGCCAGTTCTTTGTGTTTTCAAAGTGTCTTTGAAGAGGCTTTAGATTAAATTTTTGAATGAATAGTAGATGTATACTAAAACAATTAGATTATTCGCCCTTAATTTCTATGCATGATAGTTGACTCGCGCTGTGCCCTCTCAACTATCACTCGATAGAAATCTCAAACGCTCATAATCTAATTGTTTAATAGACTCACTCAAGAAAGTATGATAGAACTTGAAAAACCTGTCTGTGTTCTGAATGTTATTGAGCTCAAGATGTCCTTACCTGAGTTTTTCAGATAGATAAAGCTAAGAACCCTGATTTAGTGACTACACAGATTGACATGATGATTTCAAAACAGCTGATGTAGGTAGCATGGGAATTCCCATGGATTCCTATTTGAAGAATTTTACTTTCTTTACATAAAATTCTGTTATTCTGTTATCATCTATTCCTTCAGTCTAGCACTTAAGTTTAGAACAACTCTATGCCAATCTTAAAGGTATGTTTTGCTTTGTTTATTAAAATAATGGTGATAATGATACTCATCTCATGTCATGACCAACTCAACGCTGTGACACATGGAAGTAACTGTTGTTCATATCAGTGACGGATCTAAGGGAGGGACCGGGGAGCCGCCCCGCCCCCTTCTTTTGGGTTACAAAAGAAGAAATGACTGAAGGAAGAAAAGCCAGCAGGGCAAGTAAAACAGCCCCCTCTTAGCTCAAAGTGTGGATCCGCCACTGCATATGATTGCGGTTATTATTTTGATTTAGAAAATAAACAAATTACTTCATCATTTGAAGATATGATTAATCATCGCAGTTACACACACAACTTAAAGCAGCTGTGAAATTAAAGCCTGGAAAAAATTCAGGCCTGAATGGGATTCGAACCGATGACTTCTGCAATACCGGTGCAGTGCTCTACCAACTGAGCTAACAAGCCAACTGGGAGCTGATCACGTTGTGAATTTTTTTCAGGCTTAATTTCACAGCTGCTTAAGTTGTGTGTATAACTGCGATGATCAATCATGTCTTCATATCTTTCCCCGCATTTCAAATATATGATCTTTCGTATATTCACTTGTACCTTATCATTTGTTTAACATCAAGTCTTTATGATGCTTTTCCCATTTCCCAGCCAATTACAAGCCAAGTTAGCCCTTTGGAAAACGTTCGAGTAGCAAGGTGCCAGCAAATTGCCCAACAGTCACGCAGCTCCATCTCTCTTTGTCAATTGACTCACAAGTTAGAAAACCAGCTGAAATATTCCTAAGAATCGCATAGCTCAGAGAATTCTCGCACCCTGATTGGTTGCCTAGGTGGGGTATTCATCTGGAATTGCGACTTATGAAAGCGAGGCGCGTTGAATATTGCAACATTCAAACAGACGTAATTGAAACGGGGTTTTCTTTCACCCAAAAAGAAGGCTATGCGATTCAAGGAGAATTCATTACCTGACGAGGGAATTCCACGTTGAATTTCACTTTAAAAACCGATATAACATTCATCGCTTCGCGATTCGCGCGATATCGGTTTTTCGCGTGAAGTGCAACGTGGAATTCCCTCTGAGGTAATGAATTTTTCTAGAAAGCCAAACTACAGTCAGTCAAAAGCGTTTAGTGGAAGTATGTAACCTGTTTTGTCTAAATAAAATTGCTGCAAAAAAATATTTGGAATTCACCAAAAGAAAGTTACAACAGATGTCGACGAAAAATTTGGCAGACAAAGGGAATAAATTTTCTCGATGAAGGACTCAAGGTACTAGTTGAAATTCCTGTCTATAAAGATCATTTGTGGAGGCTTTTTTCCATACGCGTGGAATTGACACTCGGGATACCTTGGTTAACAACATGACTGACGGGAAAAATATCTGCAATAAAAGACGTTCTTTGCGGTTAACTGGATTTTAAATATGAGAGAAATTTGAAATAATATCTGTTTTTCACCTGACCAGCACGTAATAATAAATACTGATAAAAGTCATGCGATTCTTACAATATAAACACCATAACTACACGAGCAACGATCATGTTACGTAGTAAAATAAAATCTATTAGTTGCTAGAGTGTGTTCCTGGACTAAAAATCGTGTTAAAAATACCTCTGATATGTTTTTCAAATTCAATTTCAAAAAACGTGTTGAATGACAGCACAGCCGATTTTATGCTCTTTTCCTGAATTAAGTATGACCTCACCAGCGTCACATGAGGGACAGCAATTGGTCGGCTGTGACACTCCTTTATTCACAGACACCGCATAAAAAGAATAGTCATTTCCGCCGAAATTAAACTGTTAAATGCTCTAGCTTTTTAGCTGAAAAACGTTCAAATATAGCATTCATACACCCCATCAAGTTTCCAAGTGGAAGGGAAAGTTAGATGTGTTACTTTGTCAAAAAAAGTAACCCGTAAAAGCCTTGCAAATGTGGAAGGTAAGTGATACCGATTTAGTCACTGTTGTTCAATTTTTAATGTACGCTCAGATCGTGGCAAGTCCATCTCCAGTCCCTTTGAAGCAAATGTTTGCTCTTTTTGATATTTTCGGCATGTTGCAAGTTAATTATTTCAGCTCAAAAATTCACACTGCGATTTTGAATGCAATTTCGGTCGATCAAGACGCTCTCGACATGAAATTTATGCCACCTGAAATTTAAATTACGCCTTGAATAACACTTTATCGAGCGATCACTTGAATTTATTACCGTCTTCGATCGATGCGGTTCTTGAAAATTTGTTTCAGCTTTTGTTTTTCCACTCTTTGGAAAGAAAAACATTGATCTTCATGATCAGAGAAATACGTTTAAATTTTCCGTAAAGGTCAGGATGTTTTTTTTTTTTAACAGGGCCACGGGTTTATTAGCATATAGCATAACACATCCTTTTTGCCACCAGCCTCGTATTATTGCACTTTTCTTGTTGAAAGCAAAGGCAGAATAATCAACAAAACCATTTACGTACACTGAAATCCTTGTCTAGGGGAACTGATTCTACTGCTAGTTTTCCCATGTCAGCGTGAAAGCCTGCTAAACTTTTACTCTTATTTTTTTCAAGCGTTGCAACTGAAATATAGATTAATACATTCACTTATGCTGTTTTGACCCCCAAAAAAATACCTAAGTGATTAAATCAAGATATGCTCTTCATATACATACAGTCTGTCAGTTTGACATTTTCTTAAATTATATCTATTGTATAAACCAACGAAAGAATTGAAAACTCACACTGACGAGATAATGTGGACAAAAATTATCGCTTTCAGTCAATCTTTGCTCAGTTTCCTTTGTCGCTTTGATCTTGTCTGATTTATGTCGCCTTAGGGAATTAACAAAAATAAGTTTAAATGAAGAGGGATAAATAAGACCAATAGAAAGATGTTATTCATGCTACAAAGGCTCCGAGGAACAAAAACAATTAAGCCTAAATATCTTAAAAAGCCATTCCTTTTCACGTCCGCTAAGTAAATTTGAAAATGTTACTTTCTAGAACGAATTAAATAGTGTATTCCTATCTGCGCAAGTTTCATATGTTAAAACTGCGTTGCTTTTCCTCGGAGCAGCTTTTCCTTAAACATTTAAAACCTTTTTATGATTGCATGTTTTTGAAACAGCACAACTAAGACAAAACAATGCGGCCGGCAACATTTTTCAACGGTACTTAACTAGTTTCCGTGTAACAATGTTGCTTTGCGGTAAATTGCTTTAAAACTGCCTTGTTTGTTATGCGTTTTGTTTCCCCTGGGCCAGTACAATGCAACATGTGCAAATTGCAACACGGGTGGTAAATTTGAGGAACAATGCTATTCAACTTGCAGCAATACAAAATATTTCTGCTCTTCGAGTTGCTGACAAAATGTGACCCTCTTGGCGTGATGAGGCTATTCAACTTGAACTTCTCAGTCCTTCGTTTTGGCCAGTTCTGGACGAGGTGAAGTTTTGTATAAGAATTAAGCAAACTGTTATAATCCCCGACTCATCTAACTGGTTCGTCGTAACATTTGTTCGAATTTAATTCTCAAATGCAGTTGATCGTGAGCGTTTTTAATTAAAACCGATTTATAAAATACACTTCTCTATGGTCCGTTGGTTAAAGACAAATAAGTTGTTTCCGGTTAAACAAGTTCTTTCCATAGTCAAAGAACTCTTTGTTTCAACATGGTTTCAACAGGAGGCAATAAGACAATGGTCTCTTTGTTTCAAGTGGGTCTCGCAAAAGAATAGGAAAACGCACAGAACGTGCCTGAACAACATTGTAATCGATCACGATGCATATTTGCGTGTTTGTGTGTCCTTACAACTTGTGCACTGGTTGTTAATAGGGCTCTTTTATAACCTGAAAACAAAATCAGTTCAGTTGAGTTCAGTTGGTGAACGTTTCCTAGTTCCCAGGCCTTCAATGTCACAAGCCTTGAATACACTTGAATGGGTTCTTTGGTTTTGGAATGCGTTTTCTCTGTTATCAGCATAATTACACTCGCATTCCACTTATGAAAGATGTCTCCACGTAGTCTTATCAAAGACCTTTTATATCAAATTAAGAAAAAGGGTTGTCATGTGAACGGACCACGCTTGACCTGTTACTGCCCCTTTTCTGTGTCTAATTGTTGTGATTTTAATATTGTGGGAACAAAGCACATACATCCCCCGGCCAAATACTGCCTAGTGATTAAAACTGTACACATC